GGGGAGAGGGGCTGAGCAGCCGGGCAGAAGTCGCCTTCTTCCTCCTCTTCCTCCCCCTTGCTCTCAGCACTTTGGCTGGCTTCAATGAAACTGGCAGCGATGATCAAGAAGATGTGTCCCAGCGAGGCCGAGCTGAGCATCCCCGCCAAGAACTGCTACCGCATGGTCATCCTGGGCTCCTCCAAGGTGGGCAAGACGGCCATCGTCTCGCGCTTCCTCACCGGCCGCTTTGAGGAGCAATACACGCCCACCATCGAGGACTTCCACCGCAAGTTCTACAGCATCCGCGGCGAGGTCTACCAGCTCGATATCCTGGACACGTCCGGCAACCACCCCTTCCCAGCCATGCGCCGTCTCTCCATCCTCACAGGTACTTGGCTGGGGAGCGCCAGGAGGAAGGGAGGGGGGGGGCGAGTCCCTTGCCAGATTTCAGGTGTTCTCGCCCAGTTTGGGGATGTTTCTCCAGTCCTGGGAGGTGGGATTTTGTGTGTGCATGGGGTGGGCAGCTTTGCCCCCTGAACGGGGTGGGTGAGAGGATGCAGGACCCAGGTGCTGCCCGGTCCTTCCCTCCCCAAGTCTCTGTATGGCTTAGGCAGCGGGTCTCTGTGTGTCCCCGTCCCTGCAGCCATCTCACGTTCCCTCTTTGTCCCCAGGAGATGTGTTCATACTCGTCTTCAGCCTGGACAACCGGGACTCCTTTGAGGAGGTGCAGCGCCTAAAGCAGCAAATCCTGGAGACCAAGTCGTGCCTGAAGAACAAAACCAAGGAGAACATAGAGGTGCCCCTGGTCATCTGCGGGAACAAGGGCGACCGGGACTTTTACCGGGAGGTGGAACCCCGGGAGATCGAGCAGCTGGTGGGAGGGGACCCCAAAAAATGCGCCTACTTCGAGATCTCGGCCAAGAAGAACAGCAGCCTGGACCAGATGTTCCAGGCGCTCTTCGCCATGGCCAAGCTGCCCAGCGAGATGAGCCCCGACCTGCACCGCAAGGTCTCGGTCCAGTACTGCGACATCCTGCATAAGAAGGCACTGAAAGGCAAAAAGCTGCTGAAAGAGGGGGGCCGGGGCAGCACGGAGGAGGCGTACGGCATCGTGGCCCCCTTCGCCCGGCGACCCAGCGTCCACAGTGACCTCATGTACATCCGGGAGAAAGCCATCGG